TCAACCCACCTAGAAAGAAATTAGAGATACCACGCTTTTCATCATAACACACATACACATACACAAATGAAATACTTGGACATAAATCTCACAAAGAAAGAAAAAGATTTGTATAGCAGATATATATGCTCTCAAATAAGAGATCAGAGAGGATTTGAGAACATGGAAAGATATTCCTTGCTCCTGGATAGTAAGAGACAATATTTTGAAAATACCCCATACTCTCAAAATTCTTATACATATTCAATGCAATCCTGATGAAAATATCATTAGTATGCCTCACAGACCTGAAGAAAACTTTCCTAAAGTTCCTCTGGAACCAGAAGAGACCTACTATAACAACAGCAATCCTGGACAGCAAAGTGAAAGCTGGAGGCATCACAATCTCTGACTTGCAATTGTACTACAAATCTGCTCTGATAAAATGAGCATGGTATTGGCCAAATAACCAGAACTGAGGATCACTGGAACAGATTAGAAGATGCCTACACAACTACAAATACACTCAGCCACCTTATCTTTGAAGAAGGGGCCAAACATGTTCATTGAAAGAAAGATAGCCTCTTTAATGAATGATGCTGGAAAAACTAACTTTCCACATGTGAAAAGCTAGAATTAGACCCATGTCTATCACCATTCACTAATCTATAGTCAACATGGGTCAAATATTTAAATATTAAAACAGAAACACTAAGTCTTCTGAAGGAAAAAGTAGACAGGAATCTTAAAGACACAGGAGTAGAGATTTCATGAACAAAAATAAAATTGCACAGGAAATACTTCAAAGAATCCACAACTGGGATCTCATCTTTTTGAAGAGTTTCTGCATGTCAAAAGAAATTACCAACAGAGCAAAAAGAAAACCCTCAATCTGGAATAAAATTGTAGCCAAATATCCCTCTGATGAAGGTCTTCTATCTAGAACATATAAATAATTAAAAAAAAATCAGACCCCCAAAATCTAAAAACCCAGTACAAAAATGGGCATCTGAGATGAATACACACTTCTCAGGGGAAACAATACAAATGCCAAATAAGTATGTGAAAAAAGCACTGAACATCTTTGGTTAGCTGAGAAATGAAAATTAAAACAACACTGAGGTTCCATTTCACCCCAGAAAGAATGGTTATCATCAACAAGTCAACCAATAACAAATGGATGATCTGTTGGGGAAATAGGACCTTTCTGTATTGTTGCTGGATATGTAGACTGGTACAACCTTTATGACAACATTGTGGAGATTCCTCAAAACAGTGGGATTAGAAGTCCCGTTCAACCCAGCTATTTCCCTTCTATTTTTCCAGAACAAATGAAAGCATCATAACTCAATGTTATATGTGGATCCATGTTTATGGCAGCATAATTTGTCATAGTTAAATCTTTGAAACAAACCAAGTGTCCATCACTTAAGGAATGGACAAAGAAGATGTGGTATTTTTGTACAATGGAGTATTACTCAGATTTGAAAAAGTAAGTTTGAGACTATTATCAGCAAATGAATGCAACTAGATACCATACTCGTTTTTTCCATAATTTTATTGAGAAACAAATTGCAATGAGACAGTTTCAAATAAAATTGGTAGGACAGTTTCTATAATTAACACATTGCATACATTCTTCCTAGTGGTTAATTGCTGTACAAGATGCGGACTTGATATTCTATTTACAAACACCATTAGAACAAATCCTTCTTTTCATTAAGAGAATGTAACTATATATCTATCCTAACTACTTTAAATACACAGATACAAAATGGACATTGATCTGTATCCCCCCTTTTTTTTGTTAAGTTCCATCATTTAAATATATAGGTGTGTAAACTCAGCAAAATATTCTAAAATAGTTCAGAGGTCCATAATAGTATTGGGTCTTTTGTTTCACTGGCAATGTCAAAAATTGTTGACCTGAGTCCCCTACAACTCAACATAATACCATGGCTTTACTTCTTATATTTCATTTTTATACTTTTCTGCTGGATGGTTAAGACCAAGGTAAAGCAGGACGTATGCAACAAGAGTTGTAGCTTTTGGGTCTGAGAAGGTCAGTGAAATGCCCTCAGGATTTATCCTGAGATCCTGTACCTCAGATTGTAGAA